TTAAATAGGCATGCGAACGCTCGCGTTCGCAGCTGACTTCTTAAAGGGACTGTTGGCGTTTAGCCAACTGTAGCTTGAGGCAATAACAGGTCTGTGATGCCCTTAGATGTTCTGGGCCGCACGCGCGCTACACTGATGAATTCAACGAGCTCACCCTTGACCGAGAGGTCTAGGAAATCTCTGAAAATTCATCGTGATGGGGATAGATCGTTGCAATTATTGATCTTCAACGAGGAATACCTAGTAAGCGTGAGTCATCAGCTCGCGTTGATTACGTCCCTGCCCTTTGTACACACCGCCCGTCGCTCCTACCGATTGAATGATCCGGTGAAGTTTACGGAAAGCGACGACGCTGACGGTCACCCGTCGGTGACGCTGCCTGAAGTTCATTAAACCTTATCATTTAGAGGAAGGAGAAGTCGTAACAAGGTTGCCGTGCGCGGCACAAAACCCCTTCCGCAGGGGCTTTGCACGTACACGGAAGCCTGAGCGGCCTGCCTCTCGAGGGGCAGGTGCGTCTCTCCCTCTCGCCGACGGATAGAGAGGGGAGGGACGCTAAGCGCTAGTGCACCGGGGTGGGATTTGCGGCCCGTGAGCGCGACCCCCCTCGGCGCGACACCGTCCAACTGCGGAGACCTCTCGAGAGGCCGTGCTACCAAGCGCCGGCCCGGCTCGGCTGCCCCCCTCTTATCGACGGGGTCAGACGGCCGGGGGCGTGGCCCGACGCAGACAAGGCGTCGGGGTATGGTGACAACGCACGGCCGGGTGAGACGATCCGCAGCCAACCCGGGCCCGTCTCCGGGTCCTACCTCCAGGACCCGAGACCGGCAAGGGGCAGTTCACAGACTGAACGACGGTGGGTCTGCCTCCGAGCAGGCCTAAGATACAGTCGGCGAGCGCGGGAGACCGCGCTCCTCGTCCCGAAGAGGATGCAGGATTTCACCGTTCCGTAGGTGAACCTGCGGAAGGATCATTGACACACTCAGTGAGCCCTTGGGTTGCGGGGTCAATCGCAGCCCAAACCCCGGGTCGGCAGGTGCGGCGCTCGCGTTGCATCGGCCTCCTGGGTGGGGAAAGCGCGTGCTCGCGTCCCGCTCGCAAAAAGGAATCGGGTTCCACCCGTGCCCGGGCTGCGAGCGGCGACGAGAGAGATGGCGGGCTCTCGCGTTCCTCCTAGGAGGAGGCGAGCGTCCAGAGCACGCTCGAGGGCACGGAAGGATGACGACCGGCGTTCAGCCGGCTGCCGGATCTCCGTGCCCGTGGCCTTGTCGGAGGATCCGTCGGAACAATGCAGGAACCCCACCTCAGGCCGTGCCCCGCGAGCGCGTCGGTCGTTTTGGCGAGCGATCGGCGAGCTGGCGTGGTGCGGTGGCTCGAAAAAAGTCCGAGCACCGATGGATCCGTTGTGGTGCTGAACGGAAAGCGCACCCCGACAGGCATGGGGCACCGCCCTGGTTGATCCCAGACCTCGGCAAACGCCCCTAAGAACGAGTGACGAAACGACCGCCCTCGGGTCCTCCGGGTTGCTCGCAACTCGGGGGGACCGGGCGAACCTCCTCTCGCAGGAGGTCAGGTTGCCGTCCCCTCTCACGCAGCGAGCTTATTAGGGCCGCCACCCGAAAGGCTAGCCGCGATCGGGAGCGAGGCAAGACGCGGACACGGTCGGCCTGGGCGGAGGGGTGGCACCCGAAGCTCTTTCCTTCCAGTTCGTGACGAGCCTCGACACCAGGGAATGCAGCAACCCGGCGGCACCGGGCGTCCATGCGGACAAAAAAAAAAACTCCCCAGCCCTGATGGAAACAGCTCGGGCCTACCAAGCGCAAGCGAGGGAAGCCCGGGGCCTGACCTCGAGTATCCTCTGAACACCTTTCCTTCCGACGCTCCTCCTCCCAATCCAGCGTCCCCCGCCACCGGTGCTCGGTCTCTCTTGGCATCGGCGGTGTGACTGCGGGGTCTTGCTCGCCCGGCCTTCTGAATTCCTCTAGGAAGGCTCGGGAAGGGGCGCCCGCGGTGATGGCAAAGGGACCCTTTTGCTACCCCCAACCGTCCCGCTCGCAGTGCATCAAGGAGCTGCGGGCAGAGGCGGAATACAAACCTCTCCGCAACCGGAACTGGCCGTCCGGTCGCAAAAAACCCTCCCTTGAGCGGGGCGCCCACGGGCCCCGGCACCTAATAAAAACTGGGACCCCACTCCTGACGATGGATATCTTGGAACCTGGCTCGATGAAGAACGCAGCGAAATGCGATACGTAATGCGAATTGCAAAACTCCGTGAATCATCGAAACTTTGAACGCATGTTGCGCCCGAGGCCTCGGCCGAGGGCACGTCTGCTTGAACGCCACACACATCCAGGTGGAACCTCGCATCCGAACCCACCCCTCCGCACGCAGCTAAGTGCGGCAGGGGAAACGGGACGGGAAAGCAATGCGGGGCAGACAAGGGGCGCTCGGGTTGGTGTGGGCTCCGGCCCCCCCCTTTCTCCGAGACAATCGCTCGTACCTGGGAAAACGAGATGGCCGTCGCAACCCGTGCGCTCCGGGGCACAAATGGGGGGCAGTCGGTTGAAATCGCAGGGCCGCATTAGCCCGTCTCCGCTCCTCTCGACCCCAGTGCAGATCCCCGGGCGCCACCCGGGAGGACGCGAGTGGGACGAGCGAGATGAGGCGGGCGGCGACCCCGCTGGGCTCGGCGAACCCAGCCGGCCAACGGACTCCGTCCGGACCTCCCAGCAGGTGGGGGGGCCGGTCACTCGGTCCCTCTTTTCTCTCCCGAGACGGTCGCGAAAAGGTTCGGGAGCCGGGGGCGTGGCAACCCCCGGTCTCCCCCTCCAAAGTAGCGCACAAGAACGGGCGAGAGGCGGACGGGGCTCGTACAAAAATGGTCGGACGGGGAGGAACCGGGCAAACCCCAAACGATGGCTTCAAGTCAGGCGAGACCACCCGCTGAATTTAAGCATATTACTAAGCGGAGGAAAAGAAAACAACCGTGATTCCTTTGGTAGCGGCGAGCGACCAAGGAAAAGCCCAGGCTTGAAATCCGAGGGCCCCCGGCCCTCCGAATTGTAGTCTGAAAAGGAAGCGTTCTCTGTGACGGGCGCCGCCTTAAGTCCACTGGAAAGTGGCGGCAGAGAGGGTGACACCCCCGTCGGGCGACGACCCGTCACTCCACGAGACGCATCCGAAGAGTCGGGTTGCTTGGGAGTGCAGCCCCAACATGGGTGGTAAGCTCCATCCAAGGCTAAATACGGCCAGGTTTCCGATAGCGAACAAGTACCGCGAGGGAAAGATGAAAAGAACTTTGGAAAGAGAGTAAAAAGTGCTTGAAATCGTCAGGAGGATAAGCGCATGAGCCCAAGCAAACCTGCGGGCCCCGTTCGCGCGGGGCCCGGAGGTACGCAGCGCCGGTCGATGCCGCGGGAAAAGGAGCTCGCTCCCACCGCGGCGGAGACCGAGGATGACCCTCACGGGTCGGCGCTGGCGAAACGGGCTGATGCGACCCGTCTTGAAACACGGACCAAGGAGGCCAACGCGGCTGCGAGCCAATGGGTTGGAAACCACAATGGCGACAGTGAAAGCGACCCGTGAGAAGGCGGCCTCGTGCTGCCCGCACCACGGACCGCCCCGGGGGCCTCGGCGCCCGGGGTGCGTTGAGTAGTCGCGTTGGGACCCGAAAGATGGTGAACTATGCCTGAGCAGGGCGAAGCCAGAGGAAACTCTGGTGGAGGCCCGCAGCGCTACTGACGTGCAAATCGTTCGTCAGACTTGGGTATAGGGGCGAAAGACTAATCGAACCATCTGGTAGCTGGTTCCCTCCGAAGTTTCCCTCAGGATAGCTGGTGCTCGATACGTGGTTACGTCTGGTAAAGCGAATGATTGGCGGGCTCGGGGGAGAAGCTCCCTCGACCGACTCTCAAACTTTAAACGGGCGAGGAGGGCCGCCATCTTAATTGTGGCTGGCTTTCAGGGGTGCTGGCTGACCCCACCAACATGAGTGCCAAGTGGGCCATTTTTGGTAAGCAGAACTGGCGAGGCGGGATGAACCGAAAGCCGGGTTACGGTGCCTAACTACGCGCTAACCTAGATCCCACAAAGGGTGTTGATTGATTAAGACAGCAGGACGGTGGTCATGGAAGTCGAAATCCGCTAAGGAGTGTGTAACAACTCACCTGCCGAATCAATTAGCCCCGAAAATGGATGGCGCTCAAGCGCGTGACCTATACCCGGCCGCACCCGGCTGCTGGTGAGCCGGTGCGAGTAGGAGGGCGCGGTGGGATGCATCGAAGCGTGCGCGTGAGCGCGCGTGGAGCTCCCGATCGCTGCAGATCTTGGTGGTAGTAGCAAATATTCAAATGAGAACTTTGAAGACTGAGGTGGAGAAAGGTTCCATGTGAACAGCAGTTGCACATGGGTTAGTCGATCCTAAGAGATGGGGTAACTCCTTGAGAACGGCGCGGTTCTCCCCGCGCCGCCCATCGAAAGGGAATCGGGTCAAAATTCCCGAACCGGGGACGTGGCAGCTGGCGGCAACGCGAGCGAATCCGGTTACGTCGGCGGGGGCTCCGGGGAAGAGATGTCTTTTCTTTTTCACAGCTCGATGGCCCTGAAATCGGCTTGCACGGAGATAGGGCCTGCGCAGCTGGTAAAGCACCGCACGTCTCGCGGTGTCCGGACCGCCCCCAACGGCCCTTGAAAAGCCGGAGGAGCGAATACTGCTCACGCACGGTCGTACTCATAACCGCATCAGGTCTCCAAGGTGAACAGCCTCTGGTCAATGGATTAATGTGGGTAAGGGAAGTCGGCAAAACGGATCCGTAACCTCGGGAAAAGGATTGGCTCCGAGGGCCGGGCCCGGGGGGCTGCGCCTCGACGCCGCAGGCTGTCGGAGGTCTACCCGACGCCGGTTCACCCCGGTAAGGGCGGGCCCCCGCGTGCCTGCTGGCCGACGGGCGCAGAGCGGTCCCTTCACGGGGACCCTCCCCTGGGCGGAGAGCGGTCGTCTCGGAACTGGCGCGGACAAGGGGAATCCGACTGTTTAATTAAAACAAAGCATTGCGATGGTCCCGACGGATGTTGACGCAATGTGATTTCTGCCCAGTGCTCTGAATGTCAAAGTGAAGAGATTCAACCAAGCGCGGGTAAACGGCGGGAGTAACT